ATCCACAGTGGATAGGAAACCAAGGCACTTTACTAAAAAGATTTATAATTGTTTGGCTGCATCCAGATTCCCTAATTGTATCTGTGTCTGCAATCACTGATGTGCGGATCCAATTCAATATTCTGAAGCCTTGATTTTTCTCAAAGGTTAAAGCTAAAAATAAAAGCAACACTGCTTTGTAATTTCTATTGATCCTGAGTTTATAATAATATCTTTGGCATTGTGGGGCATCATTGCTTAGCCTGACGACCACAGTTTGCTTTTTAGTCTTAGCTACTGATGCTATTAAATGGGCAGGTAAAATGTTCTCTGGAATGTTCTCTCTTCCAAGTGTTTTACATTTAACTATGCAAAATATGTTAAAATAATAGGTCTCCATGACATAAACCCACAAACGTGAGAGGGAGAAAATCCAGCCCCTCTATGCTATCTCATTCCTGCTGACTGCAGAGGTCTCTGAACAGTAGGGAGGCATAAATGAAATTTATCACTAGAGAAGTCTTCCAAAAGGCTAGAAGAGTGAAAGAAAGTATCTTTCTTTAGTAGATGGTATTTTCCATAAGGTAGGGTGAGGCCTCCAGACCTTAAAATAATCACATTTATCCCTTGCGGAGCTTGGAGCTGAAAAACAGCAAAGCATGCAGTGGTGCACAAATGTGCACTGAAATTTTTAAAATGTTCACTGACCTTTTGAGGGCCTTCATGCTGTTTAAGAATCTACTGACCTACTGGCAATTACGGCACGCAAATGCCTAGCTTCTGCTGGGAATTCAACTTTCAGCTTTGCTGGCTGCTTCTCTCCTTTCCTCCTTTCTCCAAGCCACAGTGTTCTGCAGCAAGACCCCCACTGCCTCAGACCACAGAGAAAGTGTGAGGCCAGCCTCTCTGCCTGGGCTGGCTCTGTACTGCTGTTTGCTTGCAAACATTCAGTTACCAAGAAATGTGGAGTCAGCTCCACTCCTGCTCCACTTAATTTTCTTCACCCCATGCAGTGGGTTTGTCTCTTCTGCTGTCCCAGCTGTTCTTGCTTTTCCCAAGGTGGCAGAGTATGCCCCAGCTGCAATCTGCGCTTCCTACAAACTTCCTTACTTGCCTACTTGACCTCAGCTGCCTGGCCTAAATTTTTCATTTCCTGAGACTTCCACACCAACATTAAAAACTTAATGGCGGCTCCTGCAGCAATAGCTGACAACAGCATTGATGGAGAGGGTGGCATCGTGTTTACTCAAGTCAGGCCTGGGTTCAAATCCTGCCTCTATTACTGTTATCTTAGGCAAGTTGCTTAACTCTTCTGAGCTTTGGTTTCTTCAGCTGTAAAGTGAAGATATTGTTAGTTTGCTATAAGGATGAAATAAATAACATTTAAGACTTGCAGCATACTGTAGGCCTTTTGTAACATCAGCTTTCACTTTTGCTTCTTTTTCTGAAACTATATTCTGCTTTCTGTGGTCAGTGTGCAAGCATACAAGATAAATAACAACCCTAGCACATGGGGCTTACACACTGTATGAAATGTGAGATCTAAGTACAAGAAAAGGTAAAACCTAATCCCGGATTTGAACAGAAGTTGAAAACTAGCTATGGGTCATAAGCCAGAAGGCAGTAGACAATTGTATTTATGTGAAAGAAAATACGTTATGGAAATTGACTATGGAATGATTTTTAAAAAGTATAAAAGTGATGCAGTTGGAATTCAGTCTTCAAGATGAACAGAGCTTTAGTAGAAGAAAGGAAGACCTCCTGGATGGAAGGAACCCAGAAGCAGCACTGGGATCAGGAAAGTGCGGGAATGTGAGGAACATGGAGGCCGCGGTTGTGGCTACAGTGGAGAGTTTGTTCTGCAACAGTAGGAGAGGAAGCTGATGAGAGATGTTGGGACTGGGAGTCTTTGCCAGAGCTATCAAATAAAAATTTACATGCCCACTTAAATGTGAGTTTCAGATACACAACAAATAATATTTTAGTCTATGAAACCAAATGCTTCATGGTCACACTTGACACAAAATAAAATTGTCTTTTATCTGAAATTCAAATTTATGTGGCCATCTTACACTTTATCTGGCATTTTATCTGACCTTATATACCAAGTAAAGGATTATGTGGCCGGGCGCGGTGGCTCAAGCCTGTAATCCCAGCGCTTTGGGAGGCTGAGGCGTGGGGGATCACGAGGTCAAGAGATCGAGACCATCCTGGTCAACATGGTGAAACCCCATCTCTACTAAAAATACAAAAAATTAGCTGGGCATGGTGGCGTGTAATCCCAGCTACTCAGGAGGCTGAGGCAGGAGAATTGCCTGAACCAGGGAGGCGGAGGTTGCGGTGAGCCGAGATCACGCCATTGCACTCCAGCCTGGGTAACAAGAGCGAAACTCCATCTTAAAAAAAAAAAAAAAAAAAAAGGATTATGTCCTTGACCTTGTGTCACAGAGAATTTTAAAGAGAGGAGTAAACTGAAGAATAAACTTGAGATCAACTTGACAAAACACCAGAATTGCTTGGAGAGAGAGTTTAGAGGCAGGAAAACTGGCTCTGTGCATTCTACCCTAGTTTAAACGCTTGGTCTCACATAGCTACTGAAAGAATTCTCCTGATAGCTTTCTAGACAAAGATATATTTGTTCTTTCCATGACTTAGAGAATTACAGAATGTAAAAATACTGGATAAAACCTTAGTGCCTACATGGTAGTGTTTCTAATGAACATTAATCCAGACATCTAGGACTATTAATACGACCCATAAAGTGAGGGCATCAGGAACCCATCATCTATCAACAGTGGAGTGGGAACATCCATAGGGCTTTGCAGAATTCTTCCATCAGTGAATTTTAGTGACGGGCACGAATCCTGAAACATTATTGCTTTGTTTTAATTTAGAGCTCACAAAGATAAGAAAGAAGTTTAAATAGTAATGTTCTTAGACAAACTTAGATAACACTGGGACATGCCTTTTATTCATTTTTAGAGATTTATCTGGTAGCCAGTTCAAGTTAGGTTTTCATATTGAATGCCTTTTTACTCTCTCAACAGAAGAAAAAAACTTTTTTTTCACATAAAGGAATCTCTAAGGTTATGTTTTTAGTGCAACTTTCAGAAAAGTTTTTCTCTCTTTTTATCTGATTTTATCAAATTTATTAAATTGTATATAATTTGCTGAAATTCAGCCTATTGAAAACTCACATATTATACATCTTGAAGGTTTTGATTATTTCCCCAAATGATTTTATTAACTATTTTCACTGAAAGAGCAGAAACCTTGGCAACTATTATAATTCTCAAATTGATTTTAGAAAATACTGGAATGTATGAAAATATTTTTCCTTTTTCCATTAATAAAACAAAAAGTTAAAATGAATATTTCCAGAATTCTATTAATAATATAGCCAGTCAAAGTGCTCACATTTGTTGTCTGCAGCAAAGATAGGTAGAAATTAATATCAGATGCTCCGACATTACAGTCAGCTGAGCTCCTATTCTCAAAACATTTTAATGAGAACAGTACGTACATATACGTGGCAACAACCTTCTTTAAGAGCACAGGTGGCCGGGCGCGGTGGCTCAAGCCTGTAATCCCAGCACTTTGGGAGGCCGAGGCGGGTGGATCACGAGGTCAACAGATCGAGACCATCTTGGTCAACATGGTGAAACCCCGTCTCTACTAAAATTACAAAAAATTAGCTGGGCACAGTGGTGCGTGCCTGTAATCCCAGCTGCTCGGGAGGCTGAGGCAGGAGAATTGCCTGAACCCAGGAGGTGGAGATTGCAGTGAGCCATTGCACTCCAGCCTGGGTAGCCAGAGCGAAACTCCGTCTCAAAAAAAAAAAAAAAAAAAAAAAAAAAAAAAGCACAGGTGACTCATTTTAGTTGATGAGGATGCTTTATATTTTAGGATCAGAAATGTGGAATGGTGGGAAGCAAATTATTTCTAGCATGTAATGCTTTCTACATATAAACACGTAAATATATAACACCAAAGAGACTTTTTTTACTTCTTAATTTTCTAAAGGTGATGTTGTTTTATGAAATGAGGACACTCAGGTGCAAAGATGATAGAATGTTATCTCCAGTTGATTCTTATGCTAAAAGTCAACCAAAGAAACCCAATCAGTAGAACACTCTATGCAGAACATCCAGAGACTCATTCTAGAGGACTAATCTAGAAGGTCCCTCCGTTCAGAATGCAAGACCTAGATCAGCACATCCAAGTGTATCAGGAGTCTGAGGAAAGTCAAACTGCTGCAGTAACCTGCCTGTGCTGAATACCAGCTCGGGCTATGCTGCTCTCATCACCAAGGGGACAAAGGGGGTGAATCTGCTCATCCAGGCCGTGCATCTTTCCCAGTCTTTGCGCTCTGAGCCCAGAAACTTGAGAATACGTGGTGAGAATCAGCTGATAGATGTGTCCTAACCACTTGAGTTAATTCGGGTCGAAGCTTTGGCTCTTTGGTTGGAATTGTCAGTACCATTATCTTTATAGCCAGAATCCTTAGCTTGCAGCTACTGAAGAAAATGCTTAAGGACCATGAAAGTGAATTCAAATTTAGGGAAATGACCTTCTTTCCAAATTTCATGCCAAATTCAATAGGTTCATCTTGGAATTGCTGTTGAAATGTCTTTCACTCTTTTGACCCTCTTTACTCCTAGTTCATTGTCTCAAACACCTCGGATTGGCTTTGCCCATATTCACCACTGGCAAATCCTCTTTTGACAGTTATCCAGTGACCTTTCCTCCTTCCCTTTTCAGAATGAGATAATATACATAAATGCCTGTAGCAAACAAACAAAAGACTTATTCCAGTATAGATTCCCATGAAGCTAAGGCAAAAGGAAAACACAGAAGCAGAAGTAGCAAGATTTTGGTTTTTTGAACTTATTCCCAAATTCTGTTCTCATTTTGACTTGCGGGCTGTTGCTTATTTCATCACTGCCTAAATTTTGTTCCCTTACATTTCCTCTTTCATTCCCTCAAAATATGCATTATATAAACTTTCAGCTAGGTTTATTGGAGACTAGGTATGCTGGGATGAGTACTAAAGAAAAGCTCTTGTTTGGCTTAGGAATAAGAAGATCAGCATTTCCTTTCATGTAGAGAAGGTTTCTAAGGCCTACTTTCTGATATCTTCTTACATAATATGGGATAATTGCATCTTTTTAAAAATAGACCTAATGCCCTTTGCCTGGGGCTAAAAAGAAAGCCTTTTTGGAGGTGAATTCGTTCTACTTTTTAAATCTATATCATATAAGCTAAGAATCTTTGCGAGAAGACAAGCTGGCATGCACGTACTTTTTTCTTTTCCTGTTTTTTTGGATGGATGACCCATCAAAACTTGCCAAAAATATAATTGAAATATGCATTTTCATCTGATGGAGGAGTCTATAAATTGTTGGGTAATCTTTTAGAGTTTTCCAAATCTGGCAGTCTGCTTCATGCACCAAGAGAGAACATTCATGAAGAAAATGTATTCTTCACTAGTTACTCAATGTGAACAAAGAGGCTTCTTCACCCAGCCAAGAACTCAGCTATATCCTGCATACAAGTAATAGCCATTAGTATGTAGAACAACACAGATTTTTATCAAAGATGAAGTGAAACATGTCATGTTTGTGTTTGTGGAGGCACTGCCTCCACAAACTGACTATGTGAGGTCAGTGAAGACAGTTCTCTGAGATGAGGCCGAAGCTTAAGGTAGGCAGCCATAAGGATGGTGGGAAGTGTTAAGAACCCTGCCACTGTTGAGACCAAATAGGAGTCTGGATACGCGGAAGAAACCTGCAGGAGACCCAGGGGGATGTTTGCAACATATGGGAAGAAGGAGCTGCCCAAGAAAGGTGGCGCCCTGGTATGCCAACAGTCTTCCTTCTCAATTTATATTAAAAACCTGTTAAAAGAGCTTCATATTTTTGCAAGTAACTCTTAAAAGTTCAGGAGTCCTTCTTTTTTAGATTGTTTATTTTGAAATGTAGGAAAATATTGTTGTTGTAAATGAATATATGCATATTTTAACACTTTAAAAGCTTGTGGAACCCATTTAAATGATAACTTGTCAAATGAGTGTATTTTCTGTCTCTAGATCACTCTTACAGGTTAAAGCAAAAGATGCCTGTATTAATTCCCTTCTGTGAAAACAGCATCCAGTGTTTTACCGACTGTTGGATGCCGTGCAATAAAATTTGCCACTTTAACATCATTCTTAGGACTAATGCAAGAATTAGAGTTTCTGGAGCAAAGATATAATGTGCTTATATATTTTATTATTTTGGCATGAAATGTTTTCTGCTGTTTTGGGAAGCCACGTAACTTGGTGTTCTTTGCCTTCTAAAATTAAAAAAAAAACAAAAAACAAAAAACAAAAAAAACAAAAAAAAGGTTAGCATTGCATTTTCTGTGCGGCACATAAAAACAATACAATGCAATCTGAAATCCTTCCAACAGAGGGCTCTATGGGTTTGATTTAGATCAAGAAAGAGAGAAAACTGCTTGGGTTTAGGTTGCTATAGTAAATTCTGCATTATACTTAAAAATAGAACTGATAAAAATGGAGTCAGATGAGTTGAACTGGAAGAATCATCCAAAGATGAAATGTAAGATCTACCCTTACAAGACAGAATTTCATAATTCTTTGAGTTGATGTTCTTTTCAAAAGACAAAATATATTTTACCATCTATAAATAAGAAAGTAGGCAAATGAGAGATAATCCATTCTTTGAAGTGCTATTAATATTACCTCATTCAGTTACATTTAAAAGGAAAAAAAGGAGCTACCGCATTCATTCCCTTCTTGGAGACATTTTATCTTTGCTGTTGGCAAATAATTTAGTGTTGGTATAAGCAGATGTATTATGTACATAAAATGCATTGTAAATATTTAATACATGAAATATATGTTTGCATACATGCACAATGCAAAATATTACTAAAATATTTTACAAAAGAAGTGATACTATTTAAAAAGTAAAACACAAAACTATAAGAAAAGCTGACGTGCAATATATTTTGTTACCTATGCCTGCCACAAAGCTTACTGTTTCATGTTAGGCCTAGATTTTAAATTCTATTTTCAGATTGTAAAGGCTTACAATATATACATTCAAGCAAAGTAAATAATAAACTAAAGCAATAAATTACTTTTGGACTCCAGATCTTTATCTCCTGATTTTAAGAAATGCTACATTATATCTGATTTTTTTCAGTGTTCTTTAAAATGGATGGGCTCAAAGCATTTGATAAGCAGACAGATTTTAAAAATTTTAACCCATCTTATTATGTCTATTTGAAAATGTTTATTTCATTTGGTATAGAGATGCTTTAATGGCACAACTAATATTCTATTTAAATAAATATTTTTGAAGTTTGGATGTATTTTCTAAAATATACTTACCTAAAAATTGCAAAATTACATTTTTAAAATACTAAGCGTCATTTAGAAACACTGACATCTTAATAAATGCTTGTATTTACAACCAGAATGTTTGCTTATAGATCTTCTTGAATACAAATGCAGACTATAATTTATTATTCTGGATAAACCATTACTATATAAATATGCAATGCATATAATCATAATACATAATACTAGTAAATGTACTTTATTATATTTATATTCAAGTACATTGTATATATTTAACTAATGCTATATTAATTTATTTGGTATTTATAATCCATATTTTTTCAATAAATATATAGTTATTTTTGATATAATGGCTTTGACCTAAAATTTTGCTTTTGATATAATTCTTCGATCTGACAATATTAGTCCACAAATTTCTTGTTCATTTTGAATAGTATGTTTGTAACATATAAACATGATCGACTATGATCTGTTATCAAGCAGATAAAATTTGGTTTGATTATCTATAAAATCATTTTCAATGACTTTTTTACTTGCAAACCATTTAACAAAGACAGAATACTTCAAACACAATTGCAGCCTGGGTGTTCGTATGGAGTGTGACTGGCATTTCTTATATATTTCTACTTGTCTTTTGTTTCCTTTTTTTATGGATTATGAAAGTGTGATCTCTAATAAGATCCAAAGAAGATTCAAACCAAAATATTTACAGTTCTATAAGTTATTTTTTAAACATACATTAATGTTGTTTTTTGACGTAATTTTACTTAGGGAAAATATCTTTTCTAAGTTTCATTTCATTTTGTTTAAACTATCTGGAGCATAAATTATGACTTTTGATGGATTTCCTAATAAAGATTCCGTAGCAGCAAACAACTTTGGCTTCATAGGGTTGCTATTTTCATATTGTAAGATTTTACATGTATTTCTGGAATTCTTACTTGTAAATTCTTCCAGAATATTTTCCTCTTTACAAGTAGAGAGAATTATTTTATTTGATTTGTTTTTACTCATCAATGATGAACTTAAAGACATAGCACTGTGCCTTTTGTCCAGGAACTGAAAGTGCAGAGGACAGAATGCATATGAAACACATCTAAACAGTATCCTTTGCTAAAACGATTGTCCTCATTTTTGGTTGTGGGGTCCAGATAGTTTCATAACTTTGTCCAGGTGGAAGTTAACCTTCATCAGTATTTTAATTTCTTAATTTAAGAGATGATTACATTGAAAATCACGTGAAGTGCTGAGTAAAGATAATGTAGACACATTTAGGACTCAATTTTGATAAAAATAACAAATACCTATATCAAAGCCCAGTATTATATAAGGTCAACAACATGTATCTATAGGTAAATTTTTTTTTAAAAAAGTAGTCATAAGTACTACACCCCATTGAATTTGGGGTCTAGTACATTGATTCTGGGCCAAGGCACAAGTCAGCATTATTTACATCTGTGAGTATTGCTTTTATGGTTATATAAAAAAAATAAGAATAAAACAATAATATTTTCTAAAACTAGCATACAAAGGTAATGGTTTGCTTTGTGCACCTGCCAGTTTGGGTTGCTGTTAAAGCCACCCTGGAAATTCTCCTGTCTTTGTGCAATATTTTATGCTTTTCTTTTCTTCAGGGCAGATTGGTTCTGCCTGCACTTTATTCCTGAACCTACGTTCATTCAAAATGGATTGCCATACTTAAATGCTCTATCTAGTGCTGCTGCGGCTGCTGCTGCTGACTAATAATGCCCCTCCCCCACTCCAGCTCCCACCCCATCATACTCGGTGATCTCTCCTCTCCTCTGCCTCTCTCTCTCTCTCTCTCTCTCTCTCTCTCTCTCTCTCTCTCTGTCTCAGGCACCGGTGGCCCTATTGTCAACAAAGAATGCATAATGGTGAAGTACTCAGCAGTTATTTTGGTGATGTTTTCCCTTGCATGTTTTGAAAGTATTTCTGAAGAGTATAAATAAATGTGCCCTAAATTCTCCCCCTTTCTCTACGCTGATATTTGGAGCTAAGCTCTCATTAGAAGGGCAGCCTCAGAACTGCGGTGGCTGAAAAGCTTTCAGGGAATAAACATGTAGTTCAATGACTCCCTCTCTTTTTAATAATATTAGCACCATATAGATTTAATAACGGGGTGGTTGAAAACATTTTGATGATGGGGCAGTTTCTCTGATCTTCCAGGGAAAGCATCTGATTTGCTCATGTACCAATTAATTATTAAAGCCACTGAAAATACAAGCTACTGTGCTTCCCTCCTGGAAAGGGATGACGGGGGTGTGTGTGTGTGTGTGTGTGTGCATGTGTATGTGAGACACATGTCTGTGCTCTTGGGCTCATGTTTATACATATCTGTGTATTACATAGAAGGGAAGCTTGGCCAGAAATGTCTTCATTTTGACCTTGAAAGTCACTGGTAATTTTCTGTGTGTGTATGGTAGAGTAATATTTTGATGTAATAGAAGCATAATCCTTTTTCTTTTCCCTTTTAATTTTTTCTTCCTCCACACCATCTAAATGGGCCACAGCCAACCATCACTTTTAATTTTATCTTCTGTTTCTTGCCTGTATTTTATTAGCACCTTTTCTGTTTTAAAGTCTACTCACTGATATGGCACCAGATCTGTTGTAAGCAAACAATATGGTTTTGCTTTGTGTTCCAATAAACACTGTTCTACTGTATGATGTATCCCCTATATTTTATATCTTATTGGATTTGGTTAGGTTTGTGGAGGCTATTACATGCTATATAGACCTAGGTTCATCCTTTTTTTTTCAGATTCTGGGGCTCACTAAAGTTTTAAGGCAAAGAGATAGCAGATTTTGGGGTTATTATAAAATTTGTTGTTTTGTATTGTGACAATAGTGTTCATATGCCTGACATCCTCATAATAATATTAAGCTCTATTTTTTAGTGTGATGTACTTTATACATTTGTATAAATGTCACAGCCTGTAATCACTTCCTTTGTCATCGACGATTAATCTAAAAAAATCGAATAATTCACTGCCCCTTGCCATTTACATATCGTCTGCTGCCATCTGCTCTTCTCAGCAGCAGTAAATGATGGGTAATTAACTCAGTGCCTTTGTCTTTCCCTTGCTGAATGTCTGACACATATAGATTTTTCTCTGTGTGCGTGTTTGTGCGCGTGTGTGTATGTGCATGTAAGAGGAAAAGGGAGGGAATGAGATAGGAAAGAGTAAAAAAGAATGAATGATATTGCAAATATGGAAGTCAGCACAAGCTAATTTCAGGAGAAAAAGCCAAAGATACTGGATCAGAGAAGGAACCGTATCTCAGGACCTCATGTCTTCTCAAGCCAAAAGAAAGAACTGCTGGAACAATGGCTGCCTTGCACAGGCAAGAAGCACTTTTCTAAAACCTGAGAGGTCAAGGTCATGATGTAAAATCCAGTAAAGTTCCATAAGCTATTCCTATCTACCAGCGTCAAAGAGAGATCATGTAAATGAGACCAAGTGTAGGGT